AATGCAGATTACATACTGGCAACCAGAGCTGCAAAGGTGAGTGTTTTTAAGAGCATATTTAAGCAACTGAAATCGTAGGCTGGATCAGATTCTGAGTTAGCTGTAATCTTGATGTTAATTTTTGGACCAGTGAAAAGAGGTGGTTGTCTTTTCACTGCCTCAGCTCAGCCAGAAGTGATACTTTTGATGGAAAAATTGGAGAGTGAAATTATCTGACCTATATATTTTTAATGCTACAGCTTAACGCATCCTCGCTAGATAGATAAAGAGGAGCGGGGCAGCCAGTCCCCCTGGCTCCTCACATACCCCTAGTCCCACTGTATGGGGCACAAGTGCTTGGGAACTGCGTCTGGGGTCCTTTTAATGAAAGATACAATTCTTAATGGTTCATTTCTGATCCTTCCGAGCATCTCCTACCTCAGCACTCTTTTGTGGCTCTGAGCTTTACCACGTCACTTTGCTCTCCTTTGGGAAGCGGGCTGCGGAGAATAGGGTGCTTGACCTGACCTGAACCTGGCCAGGGTAGTCAAATGGCACTTCTGCCTCCCCTCACCGTTTAAAGCTGGTTCACCCCCAGTGCAGAGCGGTCTCCGCAGTGCTAGCTGGGACTTCCATGGGCTGTGATGCTTCACATGCGTCTCCAAAGACACAGTTTGGCCTCGTGCCTGCATCTTTCAGAGCATCAGCCTCACTGGATTGCTTGATCAATTTGCCTATGAAACTATTCAACTTACACAATTGCTCCCCCAGGGCCACCTGGTTCACACTGTTGTGCTGTTTTCTGCTGCTTTTCCCATGGCATCCATCACCTCAGGAGACCAAAGCAGCTTTGGACAGAGCCGAGGCAGAGACATGAACTGTGACTGCCAGTGGTTCATGAAAACAGCATCTGTTGTTCCCAGGAGAAGAAAAATCCCTTCATCCAGATGCCCAGGCCTCATGTTTGAATGGTAACATTAGATGTACAGAGACACAAATTATTCCTCAGGTTAATTGTCAAAGGAGCAATCGTCTAAAGCACTGTTGGGGATGAAAGCTGGCGCCGGGACAAGAGCAACACTATCTTGTACCTTGTGGGAGAAAGCAAGATAGGAGGAAAGAGAATTTCCACTTTCTTGTCACTGTCACTTCAGTAGATTGTCTGTGTCCTTATGCGCCAAAGGCACAGCAAAACAGAGGCTTAATTGAAGGGCTGATATTTGGGATAGAAATAGAAACTAATCCATTAGTATTACCGACCTAAGCATGGCTGTAGCTATGCATTGCTTCTGTTGCCAAAGTGTCAGTCATCTCCTGTAGGGAGAATGGGCTAGATCAGATTCACAGCTAAAAATCCAAAGATGTGGTTTGGTTTGTATGGTGTAGAACTGCCCATGGAGCTGGCTAAGTTCCAGCCAAACTGCTTTGAAAACCATTCCTGCTTTTTCATCCTCTGTTGTGTGAAGGGTCAGAGAGACTGTGGTTTCTTAGCCTTGCTGCCCAGTCATGAGACTGGATTTGCTACTCCCTGGCAGTTTCTCTTATATAGTTCATCTAACGGGCTTCACTAGTTCACTCTTTGCAGCATTTTGTCCTCTGCAGGTTCAGCCTTCCCTCTCCAACCGAAACATATTCACCTGGTTCAGCACACAGCTCTGGAGCTGGGACATGCTTTCCTAGCCTCATACAGGTGTTTAAAGCCTTTTCCTTTTAATATATGTTGCCTGCAGGATAGGTTGTACAGTGCTGCTGAGCACTTTGGCTTGTGGCAAACGTGGTTAAACTGTAATCGTTGTGTGCACTTTCTCTTTATTTTAATACATAGCTAATAACATTTTTAGAGTGTTTAGGCTTTACTGGGACAAAGGATGCTTATCTGGGTAGAGAACTGGGGAAAATCCTTCGCTGCATTTTAAGCACAGATGGGCAAACTGCTCTGCATGAAGCAAGAACCACAGACTGTGAAAGCTGGTGCTGGGCATGACATTTTCATGGCAGGTGGGCTGTGCCTCGCTCTCTACATCAGTTTCTGAAGGTGCCCGTAAGTGTTAAGGAAGCCCTGAGGCTTGCAGGGCTGTTGACTCTGTCCTCCGTGTGTCCCTGCCTCCCTGAGGCTCCTGCCCGGCGGCTCTGCGGGCAGCACCTATCTCTGAGCAAGGTGGAGCTGTGAACGGGCTTTCTGGTTAGCTTTACCCACGCTCCCTATTGCCAAGCCCTCTTTCCGGTTTGCTTTCCAGTTTGTTTTTAGCCCAGTCTGAGCAATTTGGGATGAATTAAGTTAAAAATTTCTGGCCGTTTATGAAGTGCAGGGAAAAGAGGCTGTTTTTTTAGGTCACGCTAAAGTTCTTCTGCCTTTTAATTTCATGATTGTGGCGCTTGAATTGAGCAGGGCAAAGCGCTGGCGATTTGGTGGGAGGCTACCCTGCGTGTCAGGGCTCTGCATGTGCTGCTGCTGCGACATTGCTCTTGTGTGGCTGAAGGTTGAAGCTTCGTATGTGGCTGAGACAAGTGCCACAGAGCCTGTTTGGATGTTGCCTCCAGCGTCCCTGAGGGTACTGGCCATACTGCCTTGCATTCTCCGTTGAATGAGCAGCTCTTGCCGCTGCAGGTAGCTAGGAGCCGGCCTCCTGCCCTCAGAAGTAACCCGGGAAGCATGCAGGCAGTGATATTCAGGAATGCACGTGCCTGCGAAAACCCAGCTTGATCTCGGATGACTTCTGTTCCTCATGTTTCAGCGCTTAATTCTGCATCCTCAGCCTTCCCTTTCCTTGGAGTTTTGCCAAAGGAGAAGAAAGATCAACATCACCCCAGCAACTCTCCTTTTCTACAAGGTAAAGCTCACTCTTTGCAAGGTAAGAAGGTGTCAGGGCACTGGGAGGAGGCAGGAAAAGCCAACCTAATAACAGATGGGGGAATGTGCTATGGCAGAGCATTGGTCTGAGGGAGATGTGCCAATCCCACAGGCAGCAAGGACATTACTGAGCAGCTGCTAGGGCACAAAGCAAAATTGTGCTCAGGTAATGGCCTGCTTCCGAACTGCCTCTCAACAGGGCAGGCCATGTTGCCTTAGTTGATAGGTCTTTCATCTTGGCAGGACTGATGGAAATGAAAGCAGACTTTGACCCCTGACTTCAGCGAGACCATGTACAGATAACGGCCCATGTGCACTGGTCATTAAGGCAGCATAAATGCTAGAGGAGGTCTTGCAAAGGCAGATAGCGAGTGCACAAGGAAAGCCCCAGGCAGGCTGGATTGCTGCTCGAGAGCACTTGGGATCCCAGTGGGCCTGGCCATTGCCACCTGCCCAGGAGCCGTGCGGCCGGGGTAGGTCAAGTGGCCGGGGTTTCTGGCACGCTCGGGTAGCTGGTCCCACTCGGTCCTGACGCACCAGTGATGCTAGCTCACACAGGCGGGCTGGCAAAAGGACTGTCACTTCTGTCCCTCGCCCGCTCGCAAGAGAGCTCCTCCATCAGCCCGCAAAGCTGCTGCTGATTTCCACTACTTGCAGCCTGGGGTAGTAACGAAAACCAGTTTCAATGTTGCATTACCTTGAGTTACCCGGTCCTCAGCTGTCCCGTTTGTCAGTGGCCTTGCAAGTACCGCGTGCCGTGGCC